GGCCCTGTGCCATCCTCACAATAGTTCTGTTTGAGCCCAGTGTGGCAGCCACCGTGGCATTGTACCTTGCCCTCTTCTTCAATGCCCTGCTGCTTTGCTGAGCGAGGTGCCTTTTTCCAGTGACAATGTCCAAGTAGCATTATCCTGGCTCCTAAGTATTCTTCTGTGTTACTTCCAAGAAGTATTTGCTTGTTCTTTTGGCAGTCTGTGGTACTTTCAATACTCTTCAGTGTCACCACAATTCAAATGTATCAATTCCTCTTGGGTCTCCCATCTTCAGTGTTCCACTGGCACACGCATACGAGGCAATTGAAGCCACCATGGCTTGGGCCAGGGGCATCTTAGTCCTCGAGATGACGTCATTGCCCTTCAACCCTTGAAAAGAGGACTTGCGCAGCACATCTGCCAATGCAATCTGTTGTTTGGTTTCTTGACTGCTGCTTCCATGAGCGTTGATTTTGGATCCAAGGGAGGAGATCCTTGACAGCTCTAATTCTGTTTATCGTGATACTACCTATTATTGGTCCTGTTAGGATTTTGGTTTGCTTTACATTGAGTTATGATCCACACTCAAGGCTGCAATCCTTGATCTTCATCAGCAAGTGCTTTCAATCCTTATAGGTCCATTTATCATAATTATTATAACTATACAATTTTTAATTTCAAAAGCCAGTCCTATAAGAATTTCTCAGATGGAATGAAACTATGCATTAACCTTGTGCCTCAATACATTTTAATTTTTAATAGTAATTGTAATATTTTAATTCACACGTATTCATGTATATTCATGTATATTCCCATCTCAATCTTGGTCCATATACAGATACTTTAAGGTGTTCTGGTAGCAAAGGATCACATTAGAAGGTCCTAGATAGATTGGGAGAAAAATGTGGAACAAAATCCTGTAGGAGGCTAGGCTGACTGATAAGAGACTTATAGAACCCCCAAACTATGGGCCTTAGGCACCCTTCGGATCCGGAACGGAACCTCCATCTGTGGTAGAATAACCAAGCATTGAAGAATACAAGGGCCGCGTTTACCCAAGGACAAAGCTCAGAGAAGGCAGGCTGGAAGCAGGGAACCCTGGGAGGAAGTGGAATCAGGGATGCCCCGTGGAGGACAAGGGACAAAACGCAAAACGTGGCCGAGCTGTTGAATGCCAGCCTAGTGGCCTGGACTGCAAGCCTTCACGTAATTCACAAGAGAGCATTTAAAGCAGCGGTCATGCTAAAACTGTTGCTTGGGTGGACTGTGTGTGTGTGTGTGTGTGTGTGTGTGTGTGAGAGAGAGAGAGAGAGAGAGAGAGAGAGAGAGATATGTGGTGGGGAGAAGTGGGGCAAGTGGAGTCCTGGTAATACTCTGGTTAAATGTTCAACTGCTAACCAGCCCCCTCTGGGGAAAGGTCTAGAGGCCTGCGCCCGTCACGTCACGCCAAGAGCCAGCCCTCCTCGGTCACAGAGCGCATCTCTGAGTCGGAGTGCGCCTGGTGCCACACGATGTGGACACACCTCACGTCTGCACCGTGCCCGTAGGACTTTCCATTTCATCAGGAACAGTTTTCCACGCGGCCTTTCCGGTTCTGTTTGTCACAGGTCCCACACCCAAAGGGTCTCAAACCCTGTCCTTGGGCGGCCCATTGTCGCAGTGTTCCCGACGCGGCTGCAGGGGGCGGCGTGTGCAGCGCCGTCTCCTTCCTGTTGGCTCATCCTGGCGCACAGACCCCGATGGCACGTGACTGTGCGACGGGGAACTTAGGGCGGCCCACGAAGAGGAGCCTTTTGGGTGCTGTTTACCCTGAATGTAGCCTTGCTAATTACAGCTGTGTCTTAGCTACATCGATACCCCCCTCTTCCTTTGGCTTAGAAATAACCTTTTGTGTTAGAAAGTAGAACATGCCTGCTTTCACCATGGAAGTTCTTAGACGGTGGAGCCCAGGCATTGCTATTAATTTCCGATTATAGCATGGTGCGTGCGCCGTAATACACCTTGGAACATCCTCCCTCCCGTTCTCCCCCCAGCATGGTGCCCTGTAATAGACCTTGGACCCCCCCTTTCCCCCCAGCATGGTGCTGGCCGGTCACCTGGTACGATGGGCATGCTGTGAAGTGTAGGAGCCTGCCCATCGGCTGCCGGGGGTCTGAGGGACACTGGCCGCGAGGCTGCGAAGACGGAGGCAGTTGTTATTCCTGCACGTTTTACTCTCGCGGTCTCCTTCCTGCCTCTCCTTCGTCTCTCTTCTCTTTTCACAGGAAGCCAAAAAGAAGTATGACAAAGAGACAGAGAAGTATTGTGGCATCTTGGAAAAACATTTGAATTTGTCTTCCAAAAAGAAAGAATCTCAGCTCCAGGAGGTAAGATGCATTGCCTTGTCCGTGGTGCTGCGGGATTGTGTGTGTTGGGGCGTCGGAGATGGGGCTTTCTACTCCCAGAGAGAGTTACAGTCTGGGAAACTCCCGGGCCCAGCCGTTATTCCCTGCCCTGTAGGGTCACTCTGAGTGGGCATCGGCTCTGTGGCAGTGAGTTTGGGGTGGGGTGGTGGGATGTGCTAGGTGCTTTCTGGGTTGGAAGAGCCCTGGTAAACCAGGAGCTCCGGC